AATTGGGACTGAGCCTTTGTTATGTAGAGGTGGTGCGGCTGAAACCGCTGCTAGGAATGAGTCTCTGTTGTGTAGACTGGTTGAAATGGGAGGTTCCAAGAGTTGTTAAGGTCCGGCTGATGTAAAGGTGCGGCTGCTGTAAATTGGGACAGAGCCTTTGTTATGTAGAGGTGGTGCTGGCTGAAACCGCTGCTAGGAATGAGTCTTTGTTGTGTAGACTGGTTGAAATGGGAGGTTCCAAGAGTTGTTAAGGTGCAGCTGATGTAAAGGTGCGGCTGCTGCGAATGGGACTGAGCCTTTGTTATGTAGATGAAACAGCACGTTGCTACGTTTCTGGTATTAATTCTAGATTTGCCAAATATGTGTGGTAAAACTTAAAGCAGGAAAACCAGTGTGTAGGAGTACCCACGATTTACCCCACTACACACGACCTATCCATCAACCGACTGTGGTGGCCCCCATTTCTACTGCTGAAATTGAGAACGATACGTATTGTTTCAGCGGACGTACCATTGCAACACGATACAAGTTCCTTATGGACAGGCATTGCTGATGTACATTGAATAAAAAATATATAACGATCACTTGAAATTGCAGTGAAAAACAAACTAAATTTAATTCCAAATGATTTTATTCATAATGCACTATGGCTAGATTTTTGGTTTCTTTTCACATCTATGGATTTTTATGTATCTAAAAATATAATTGTCCTGGGGCACACCCTTTGGCCATTTCTAGTTTTATGATATTCCCTGAATTGCCTCCATTAAATTTTGAATTGTAAGAAATACAATTTTCACGTGTCCCTTCAGGATCTTAAATACACTCGTTCATTATCAGTGTTACATGCAAATACATCATGCAATGAAAAGCAATCATAAAATATTAGAATTTTACACATGTATTGCAGGATACAATTTATTGAAGCCTTATCTACATTAACGGGTGTGTGTATATTTCAGGATTGTGATAACGCAAAGTATTGAAGATTCCTAATATCTTCAAATAAAAAAAAACATATCTGTGGAATGGCGACACGTGTGTATGCAAACATTGTTGTTATTTCAGCCCTGTATTTAACTTACAAAATACATTTTATCCCAATGAAATTGCTTCTCAAGATGCTGTACACACAGCAGGACATGCGCATCATGGGGATAGAAGGGAGGTAGTTACATGATTAAAGTAAGGTATGATTGCTTTCACCTTAAAGGTGGTCGTGGGGGGAGGGGAGGGGCAGTCAATCAGAGGCAAAGGAGTGGAAGGTGTTGAGACAAGACAATAGTAGGGGTAGGGAGACAGCAGCATGGATGGCCAGGGGGAGTAATTAAAACAAACCCGTTATAAAAAATGTATCTATGAAGATTAGTAGTGCCCTGGTGTATATCAGTGACACTATAGCTGACCACACAAGACAGGCAGAGGGTGTGAGTTTGGCATTTACGCTGCAAGCAAAGCCACTGGAGGTCATTAAGCTCAAGTGCAACTTCATAATGACCGTATTTACCCATAATTGGAGCGGGACTTTTTTTTATTAAAGTGCAAATCACCCGACTGGCCTTAAATTGAAGTTGGCTGCTGATAATGCACACCTGTGTCCAGTTATGTAACGGCTTTAGCAATGGCACAGGGAGCAATTTGAATGATGGTAATGTTGGGAAATTATATTCTGCAAAGGGGGACGACAGAAGTTGGAATCCTTACAGCAGTGGCATTATATTATTATTTTATTATGTTTTATTTTTATTATTTTATTACTTCCCTTCTACGTGACTTTACCGAAAGAACCAAGAAGAAAAAGTGGCATTGCTGTTAGTTAATTCATCATGAGCATGACGCTAGCTCACAACACAACCCCGATACAAAGCAAGTTTATACGTCGCGTAGACATTATTTTAACGGGTCGCCTTATATCCGCGTATAGGATGAAATGTGCCAAAATAGCAAACTACGTGTTCGCGTTGCGGTCACAAGAGAAGGCCGATTCTACTTGTCTCCATAACGAGTCACAAGGCGCGTAGGACACAGCAAATGCCGTGTGTGCGTCACCGCTGTGTGTGCGTGTGCTGTAGTGGTAGCGGTAGCCCGCTGCGGTAGTGGTAGCGGTTAGCGCTACGCTGCGCTACGAACCTGGCGACCCGAATTCGATTCCCGCTCACGGCCAACACCGGTGACGATTATGTGAACCGGTCCTGGGCTTCCCCTAGGTCGACTCAGCCTCAAATGAGTACCTGGTCCGGTGTGTGAACGTCGCCACTCGGGAGACACAAAAGGGCGTCGTTCTGGCCACCCACCCTCTCGTGTGCCGTGCCGGCCTTCATAGGTGCTCGCTAACAGCACTTGCCCCAACAGTCTGTTAAGGCTATACGGGGGGTCTTTGTGCGTTACCGCTGTACTTGCACACCTGTGCGTGTGCGTTACCGCTGTGTGCGCGCGCGTGTGTGTGTGTGTACCGTTACCGATGTATGTGCGTGTGTGTGTGTGCAGCCGAGCCAGGAGCCACCCCTACACTCGCCCTTGCGTTTTCCTCGTGTGAAGTGTGAAGTTAATTGAGCCACTCCGCACTTTTTTTCCTCCAGCCTGCATTGCATAAAGCAAATTGCATATTTGATTTCATACTTATACATTTTTTCGTATAAAAAAAATCTATTCATTTTAAATTACTGTTCCAAACTTTGGAGAGAAGATGAGTTGACCCTGGCACGCCCGGCGTATAGTTCATTTACAGACTTAGTCTCATCCTGCGAACATCACGTTCATTGGGCACGATGGAAAATGACAATTGACTCATTTTTCCTCTTGCGGAGGAGCACAGCGTGTTGAGCTCTATGTATGTAATCATATTTCATTGAGTTACGTACGAAATACTAATATTGAGCAGAGTCATCTGGGTTTCATCTGCAACTGCACAGCTGCATTTGACCAAGTACGCATGGAAAATGTGATCAATCCCGTACGATGAAATGCAGATTCTGGATTATGTGCCATTTAAAATATTCATATTTATAAACATTTGGTCATTTAAATATTTCACCTGGGAACAATCCCTGAAGGTGGACCGTCTCGTTTGCATTGGTGTCCATGGTAAGGCAGTCGATGGCAATGTCCATCCGTGCGTCAGTGCTTTACGTGTGTGTGTAGGTGTGTGTAGGTGTGTGTGTGTGTAGGTGTGTGTGTGTTTGTCGGGAGGAGGTAGTGTAGCAGTTATTTCCTTGTGCTACGAACCCTTCTACCCGAGCTCGATTCCAGCTCACGGCCAACACCGGTGGCGATTGTTTGAACCGGTCTTGGGCCTGGGCCTCCCTTCCATCGACTCAGCCTCAAATGAGGACCTGGTGCAGTGTGTAAACATTGCCACTCGGGAGACAAAGGCAGTCGGGCGTGGTGCTGGCCACCCACCCCCTTGTGTACTGTGCCGGCCTTCATAGGTGCTTGCTAGAAGCACTTGTCCCAACAGTCCATCAAGGCTATACGGGGGATCTTTGTTTCGTGTAGCCTTGACAGAAATTGCAACAAACGATAAATAACAACGACAGATTTCACTGACGGCCACGTAACTATGCATTGCATCGAGTACGCTGCTCAACGTCACAAATGAATTGAATTGCAAACAAATGTTTTGTCTAATTACTTGGTTAATTGTCTAATTAATTAATTGATCGGTTGCAACGTGTGACAGTGCGCTGACCTTTAAATGTCATCCAACAATCTGGGGGTGCATAACCCATGGCCTTTTATTACGGCAATAAAAGCCATGTCCAGGATGCAGACGTCGCTTGATTTAATTGTTTGGGACTTTCCACGCTCCATCATATTAGAAGAGTTGCCCTTTAAAGCTGGCTTAGGCGGACGACGCCTCCTTGCACAGCCTGACCCCGCGATTCTTTCGAGGCGTCGAGGGAATGATGATGTTGGAGGGGGCATGGCAAACTAAATTACGTAAAAACGTGGACGCGAGAAATTTGACTCAGGCATGGGTTCAATTTACACTGCTTCGCGCGTCATATTTGACATGGACACCTCCATACGGTGCTAATATGTTAGTTAACACAATTCATCTACCGAAAGAACCAAGAAGATGAATCCCTGCAGTCACGAAAGCTTTAAATCGAAATTTAACACAATTCGTTGTTTAAACGTTTAGGCTTTCGCGACCAATATCATCCATAATAGAGGTTTTTTGGAGTTAGATTGCGTAAATGTATAAATGTGTCGTTAAACCCGCTACCACCCGACACAGCCAACTAGTAGGGGTTGTCACGTAAACAGAACGTGCCAATTCGTCACTAGTACAGCACTAGTGCATAGTGTAGTGTATAGTAGTGTAGTGTATAGTAGTGTAGTGTATAGTGTAGTATACTAGTACAGCATCACCGGTGTGTTGGAGAGCCGTGCCACAACATTTACAATCCGAGTAGGATGTTTCGCCAGTAAGTTAGATCTAATTACTGGCGACGAATTTACACTTCGTTGTGTTGGAATGATGCCCCCCCCCCCCCCCCCCACATTTTTAAATATGGTGGATAAAATTCTAATTCAAGAAGAAGTAGAAGAAAACCTCAATATCTTGGCAGTGTGCATCATTGCATGGACTCACATGTTTGCAAGGGAGACCCGGTGCAAATGGAGAGCGTTGCCCTTTTTGTGTTCGCCAGTGGAGATTTAGCTACGTGCGCAGAGGGCTTATTGGCCAGACCAATTGGCAGACAGAACATGGGGGCAAAAGCTGCATTTGAGATTCAGTTGTGAGCGCCGCATTGAATCCCAGTGCCCAACAACTTCTCCCCCCCCCGCCCCCCGAATTCATATGCAATCATGTTCGCGGTGTATTTGTATTCAAGTGTAACAAGCCTTAATGGACAAGGCACTCGCAGAATAAGTGGTCGTGCAGCAGCAGCGGCAGCAGCAAGCAACCTCGCCTGCATTTGCATGACAGCATTTTGTGCGTGCGTGCCTGTTGTGTTATTTGCCGCTGCCTCCCCCGTGCGTTACGCAGATAGCATGAGCGTGTGACTCGGGGCTTGGCGCGTTTCGACCCGCGTGACATGGACGTGAATGAGCACCGGCCGTACCGCTCGCTGACCCAGAGCCGCATGGGGAAGGAGCCGCGCCACCTGGGCCCCTCCATGGATGCGCAGGGTTGCCGTGGACAGCCACCGCACCGGCTGCACAGCGAGGAGTGCATCGCCCTGCCCAAGAAGTCCTACAGCTCCAGCGAGACCCTCAAGGCCTACGATCAGGAGAACCGCTTGCTCTACGACAGGGAGGAGGAGCTGTCTCAGCAAGGTAAAGTGGTTGGCAACTCGGGTGACCGCAGATGGGTAGCGTGGCCTTATTAAAACAGGGTGGAGTGGCGGGGGGGGGAGATGACCCCGTCGATCTTAAATAAACTTGAAACAAACACCGAGCGGAATGGGTAACGGTGCGAGCTGATTTTGTCTGTCGTGCAGTCTGCTCTCGCTCTTACACCCTGTGTGTGTATGGTCACATAATGACAGTTGATGGCATCAGGAGTTGCTTGATGTATTGTGCAGTCGTACATCCTACGGGAGGAGGGAAGGGGGGCTTGGTTAACCGGCCCACGGCGTGAATTTCTTGAACGCGCCGCGTCACAGCGCGCTCGCGTTGATCGCGCGTAAAAAATGTTGTAATTGGCGAAGTCACCCGCTGGACTCTTCTCACAGTGATGCTGCGCAGGGCTCCAGTGGGACTAAAGTTAAGCGACCTGATAAGAGCATTGCTGGAAATGTCTTTGGAGGAGAGATGAAGACGGCTGTCGTTTTTGTGTCGTCGGGCCGATGTCCTTTCAATCCTTTTTTTGATACAAAATGTTGCATGTCCAGTGTATTAGACTATCGTGTACGTGTGTTTGTGTTTTTTTAAGATGTGAATTTAAAATGGTTTAAGATGGAAAAAAATAGATTGTACTTTTGTTGTTGGGAGGGTCTTTGCACGAGACGTTATTGAGAGCAGACATTTTTGTAATGCATTTTTAAACTGAATTAATTATGTAGAGGGAATTAATCCACACACTGGGTAGTTTTTAAGCTGTGCCCAGGAATCCCCATAGACCTATTGATGGTAAATTAGGCTTATTAGAATGATTCATTACATAGAAAGAAATCAATTATGTACACAGCTGGGAAGAGTGATCAACTAACTCTTATTAAATAAATTTGGGGCATCTTTTATGAATTGAACATGAACATTTTTAGACTTCCCAAGTTTTTCCCAAATGGGTTCTGCTGTGCATAAATTCAGCATTTCCCGAACCGGCTCCAGGTCTCGGGGCCCAGTCGAACACAACTCTCCGTGTTCTTGTTGGTCCTCGCATGGGCTCGATCGATCTTTTTCTCGAAGTGGAAAAAGTCACGCAGTTTTTTTTTACCTTCGGACCAGCTGTTCAGAGCCAGAACAGGTAGCATCCCAAAGCATTACAAACTGGGCATGTTGTATAACAATAACGAGCATTGCCTGAGCAATTGTACACGGTCAGGGGTGGTGGGTGGGGTTGGGGTGGGGGGGCGGTGACGTCACCGTAGTACACTTCCCGGGCCACGCGCCAGTCAGTCAGTCAGCCAGCAAAACTTTTATCTCATATTAGTACGGGAGTAACAATGCCCTGCATTTTCCCGGGGAAAACCTCGTCGAGTCCCAAAACTACATTTTAGGAGGGTCTTCCATTTGCATGTTTGGCCAATTCTATTGATGAGTATTCAGCACTTGCGATTAGCACGGTTGGTTACATACGGCTAGAAAGAAGTTCTACATACATACATTAGCAGCTGGGAGGAAATCAGAGTATGCGGAGAAAACTCAGATATCTGGTGGGCCGGTGATGGCACACACAACTATAATCCAGCACTATGGAGGAGAGAGTTTGTTGATCACAAACATGATGTGAAACTTCTTTCCCTTGGATGTCGAGATGCCGTACTTTGGCTTACCAAGAAAAGGTGGTGCAGCAAACATGTGGACTCCACATGTTCCATCTCGATGTGATATAGCGTTGCCCCCTCATACACGTGGGTTCTGTCTAGGTGCAGTTGGCCAAAACATCCCAATTTAGGGCCACATAGCCTGGGAAATTATTGGCGTGAGTTTTAGCTACCTTCCTGCTTGTCCATGGTTTCCCATGCCTCTGAATCTACAGAAAACATGCACATTTCAAAATTGTGATTTAATTTTTTTATATGTAGGCATAACAGCTAAAGCTCCATACAAATAAATTCGATCATCTATCATCGCGCGCTTTCAAATGCGCTTCTACGGCCGTCTGGAACGCTCTCTTCCTCCGATATAAGCAAGCGACTGGAGCTATGCACTTTTAAATCGATATTGAAAACTCATTTATTTAGAACTGATGTTTAGTTTGTTGTCCTTCCCGTGCACCTCCCATTAGCACGGCTGGTTATGTATGGTGTGAACGTTCAACATACATACATACATACTATGACATACTACTATTTCCTGGTCACCTTAAAGGCCAAGTCTGCAACGCCTGGAATTCCCAGGTAGTCTATCACCTAAGTATTAATCAGGCTCAACCCTCCGAAAATGTTCTTAAGATTTTATTAACACTTCCTTGGGAAAACCACCCCCCCAAAAAGTTAATTTTATTATATATTTCCTGAGCGAGCCTCACTCTTTGCCTTTCATTTATAGCTAAGCGCATAAACAATTAGTAATGTATCTTAAAGTGTACCTGCCTTTGAGTTTTGCATCTACATATATATCTGCACGTATACGATAGTCACCCACCACAGGTGTTATAGGCAAGAGGCTGTTGGTCAGCAAGGTGGACAGCATAGGTCCGTGTAGCAAAATCCATTCGTTGTGCTGTTACTTCAATACACTCACATCTCTGCTCCCTGTCTCAAGCAACCCGTCATACTGCCCAGTGTGGTGAAGTACAGTCATCATCGATCAGTCGATTGACACAGGGCTGTACATATACACAAGCTGAGCGCGGTACTCACTGCCTCATAAACACACACTTATATTTGCATACACTATATATATATATATATTGGCACAGTTGTCAACATGCCTCAATGCCAGCGAGCAGTGCTCAATCAACCTGACCTGTATTGTACATTGACATTTCGCTGTTGTTATTAAGACCACCGGAGACCACAGTTCAATGTAAAGATTTTTTTATGGTTTAAGGAATGATGCATGTATGAGCAGCAATGGCATTTTTAAAAAGCCACATTTAGAATGAACATGAAATCTAGATTTTGTTGTTGTCGTGTCCATGTTACGTGTGACCACCACAGTCAATCCATAGAATTTACATTCCATGCAAAGAACACATCTGACGTATGTTGGATTGCCACCTCCAACATACAAAACATCTGGACATATCACAGGATGAGGAATATCCTACGAGACTAGACTAATTATATTGAGTGATGTAGCATTGTTTTTGTTATTATTACACCACTGACATAAACCAGTACTTTTAATGTCCCGTGGAAAACTTACATATGTATGTCTATTTTGGACAGCTACTTCAAAAAGATGATCCTGGGCAAACCAGGACAGTTGGGCCATCTAAAACCCACCTGGTTCATTATTATACTGCACTCAGACTCAACGATGATCCCTTCATTATTTATTTTAAAACCCAATGCTTTCATATTTAAATTAAACTGTGAGCTGCTGCTGGTAAGTGCTGAACACAGAAATTGGCTCGTAAGTGCTGAACACAGCTGCTGATGCACCAAACATGTGATAGCATAGTCATCAGATATCACGCTGATATCACTTACATCTTTCCATTATCAATACCTCATTGAATTATTGATCGCAATTTTCGTCACCGATAGAGAGGTACGCATATGTCGGGGTGACCCCTGATGACCTTCTCTCGCTTCATGACGCTTGAACTCGAAAATCTGCAGCATTACACATTCATACGTCTCATTATTTAACTAATCACAATTATCAATGCGTTCTCATTGCAAACCGTGGAGCACTCTGCTTGTTTACCTCCGTGGGGAAAATTTGGATAGGATTTTGAACCCCCGTGGCTATTAAATTAAAGAGTTTAAAAGTCAGCAAGCGAAGGCGTTCGAACTAATAGCAAATGCAATTGTCACCTCCTGCTGCGCTCTTCACACTTACCCCTCCCTCCGCCACCCTCAAACTTTCCCTGTTGCCTACTTCTGCCACGACGATCATCACATACCCCGTCACCCTGTCACCTTTCAACCCAACCCACAACGCTCACTCTCTGGGACACCCAAATGTGAAGCAATGATGAGGTCTCCAGCTATGACGCATGCACAGCCTGCACATCAGTGAACTTGTTTAAAGCTCAGTGTATTATTAACTGTTAAATTGTACGTACGGAGCGAATGCACACGATTCTTTGAGGATTGATTTAAGGCTGCGAGATATTTTTAACGTTAGTTATTTTGTGTACATTTATGAAAATGGTGCAATTTAGCCAACAAAATTGTGATGGAATGCATTTATAATTTCTCTATATACTCATAAATTATTATAAATTTCAGTGGTAGCAGTGGTGCAATTGATAGTTCCTTGTACTATACAATCAGCTCCCTGAGTTCAATTCCCAGCCATTGCTAACATCAGTTGCCAGTGATCTCTGAACTGATCCTGGGCCCTCATCCTCAAACCCACACTGACCAACGTCATAAAATGATCCCGGTGATTAAAAGGCGTGGTAAGGCCTTCATACAGCAGTGGATTGACAGAGGGCTGTAAATGACTTTAATCAATATATACAGATATAATAAATAATTTTAATTTTATTTTTCACCTACGTGACTTTACCCAAAAAACCTAAGAGTATGAATCCTTGCAGTCACGAAAGCTTCAAATATAGAATTTTACTGAAATTATGCTTCTACATTCTTAAATGGATTGCATATGTAACATGGCATTTCCACAACTCTCCTAAAAAAATTATTGGACGAAGAAACCGAATAGAGAAAAAAAAAACATTAATTAACTTCATTTCCCAGTGCAAGTGCAATGTCCTGGGGTTTTTTTTTTGTAAACCGACCTGAGTAATGATTTTTGAAATATCGATGTTACTGTGAAGCTTTGTACAAAACGCAGGGCTCTTCAGCAGACAGGTAATTTTGTTCACGTGCCAAATTAGAACAAGGTGACTTGATCACTGAGTGTTGATCTTCACGCCTTGAGCTGTCGCTGCGTTGTAGAGAACAATGCAAGAGTGAAAAAAGTAAACGCAACTGCAATTCTGTTCAAATAGCAAAGCATTTATGTGTAAATAAACTTCCACAAGAAAA